GGAGCAGACGGGTCCCTGTTGTTCCGATAACAAAGGATGGAGCTCCCTCCTTCAGATCCCAAAGCTCCTTGGCTTTGATGTTACTGCCACACAGACCCAAGGGCAAGACAGCTGTGCAAAAGCAAGGAAGATGCTCGGGAACATCCTCTGGGCATCCTGGGGAAGGTACAGGACAGTGCCACCATGATCTCCAACAGGCCAAGAGATGTCTTTGAGGGCTGCACCGTGAGCTGCCCTCACTTCACCTGTTCTGCCTGCATGTAGCGTTTATCTCTTCTCCCCCACCTGAAACTGCTTTTTTAATCCCCAGCCTAAGTCTGAGCAAGAGCATTACAGGGCTCGGTACCCACGTGTCCTTTTCCTGCACTGATTTGGATTAGGCATGGGAGGTGGGGAGAGCAGCCAGTGGTCTACCTGCCATGGCAGAGTGCAAACTCATTCCTTTGTCCCAGGAGACTGCAGAATACCCCACGTGAGGAAGAATGGAAAGAAGCTCATGCAAAGGCCCCAATCTTAACATTAGCTTGCAAGATGTGCTCATCTATGATTCTGTGATTCATCTATGATTTGTCTAAAATCAGGAAGAAACATTCCAATGACTGGGCCCAAAGCGGAGGACAAGAGGAGTTTATTCCAGAGTGTGGGGTGGAGGGGTGATTCATCTAAAATCAGGAAGAAACAGTCCAATGACTGGGCCCAAAGCGGAGGACAAGAGGAGTTTATTCCAGAGTGTGGGGTGGAGGGCAGGGGTTCCCAGTCCTCAGATTCTGAATCAGAATCACCTGGCTTGCTTGGATTTAAAAAAAAAAAAAGCAAATTTCCAGGCCTTTCCCCAGATTTTAGCATCTGGAGATGGAGCCCAGATACTGCTCCATTTAGTAAGTTCCCCAGGAGATTCTTAACTAGCCAGCCTTCAACTAGCACTTACCCCAAGCCAGTCCCAACCGCACAAGACCCCAGCACTGGAATCCTGTGCTGTTCAATACCTTGTCTGCCAGGTGGCTTTGGAAGGGGCGCCTATGGCCTCTGAGTCTGTGTCCTCATTTATAAAACAGGAACAGTGATAACAATATAAACATCATAGGATTATCATGAGGACAAATGCAAAAATGTAGATGAATTAGATATGATTTTGCATTTTGTCTAAATTAGTTTCTGGTTTTGGAACAAAGCCACATCTTCTGATCATACACATGTTGCAGCCGAAAGACTGGTGCAGAAAAGTCACAGTATAGAGCTGATGTGAGTCTCACTCTGGGCAAGGGAGAGTATCTCTTGGCTTGAAATTTTTAAAAAATTAGCTTTGGGGGGCCTTCTGCCTCTCCTGTCTCTCTTCTACTTTCTTCCTGTTCTTTTGGGAAATGACCTTGCTATAATTTGAATGTCCTCCCCGAAGCTCACGTTGGAAACTTAGTCTCCATCGTAACAGGATTAAGGGGTGGGAAATTCAACTATGGTATTTGAAAGGTGAGGCTCTAATTCATGGATTGATGGGTTAATGGATAAATGAGTTATCATGGGAGCAGACTGGTGGTTTATAAGGAGAGCAAGTAAGCAGGTTAGTGAGCTCAGTCCTCTAACCACGGGACACCCTGCACATCTCAGGACTCTGCAGAGGGTCCCTACCAAGAAGGCCCTCACCAGATACGCCCCCTGAAACACAGACCTCCCAGCCTCCAAAACTGTAAGGAATAAATTTCATTTCTTTTTAAATTACCTAGTTTCAGGTATTCTGTTATAAGCAATAGGAAATGGACTAATACAGGTCACAAATCTCACCCATATATCCTGCCTCTTTATCTTTTCATAGAATGATTCTCCTAACTTCTGAGAAAACTCCAAGCTCTCCTATGCAGTGATCCCACCCTGCAAGGGACATTCTACCAACCCAGGGAAGAAGAAAATTATTTCTTTTCATGCTTTAAGATGGTATTAGCTGTGTATTGTTTTAGTTCAGAGTGTAATTATGGAAAGTGCTCTTAAAATCTGTATATTTTATCTGTGCTTTATTATACACAAAGTATTCCCCAATTCTTTTTCTTCTCCATGAACCAGTTTAAAATATATTTTGGCATCCTTTATGTCATCTTGAAATTGAATAGCCAATTCTTACTGTAATGAAAATACTTATGCGCCAGCCTGGTGATATACAACACTACACTCTAATTACAGCTGTGCTTTAATTAACCTGAATTGAAGAGTGTTATCATTAAACTGCTGGTAACTTTGAGTTATGGCTTTTCTTTAATTTAAAGTAGAAAACACAGATAATTAAGCCTCCAGATAATCAAATGCTTGAGGAGAGCTTCAATGTTTTGGGATGTTCCTAAATCTCATTAAATGTCCTTTCTTTATTGATTATTTCTACCTCTGCTGTATCATTGTATTAAACAAATAATAGCACTAAGTTGAACACATTTTCATTCACATCAGAAATGGATTCTTCTGTTTTTTTTTTTTTTTTTTTTTTTT